CTGCAGACTAAACAATCCCAGTTCCCTCAGCCAATCCTCGTAAGTCATGTGCCCCAGCCCCCTAATCATATTTCTTGCCCTCCGCTGGACTCTCTCCAATTTGTCCACCTCATCTCTGTAGTGGGGGGGGGGCCCAAAGCTGGGTGCAATACTCCAGATGTGGCCTTTCCAGTGCCGAATAGAGGGGAATAATCACTTACCTCGATCTGCTGACAATGCTACTAATGCAGCCCAAAATGCCGTTAGCCTTCTTGGCAACACGGGCACACTGTTGACTCACATCCAGCTTCTCATTCATTGTAATCCCCAGGTCCTTTTCTGCAGAACTGCTGCTTAGCCAGTCGGTCCCCAACCTGTAGCGGTGCCTGGGATTCTTCCATCCTAAGTGCAGGACTCTGCACTTGTCCTTGTTGAACCTCATCAGATTTCTTTTAGCTCAATCCTCCAATTTGTCTAGGTCACTCTGGACCCTATCCCTACCCTCCAGCATATCTACCTCTTTTCCCCCCCCCAGCTTAGTGTCATCCGCGAACCTGCTGAGGATGCGATCTATCCAGATCATTAATGAAGATGTTGAACAAAACCAGCCCCAGGATCGACCCCTGGGCACTCCACTTGATACCAGCTGCCAACTAGACAGCAAGCTGTTGATCGCTACTTGTTGAGCCTGATGATCTAGCCAGCTTTCTATCCACCTTATAGTCCATTCAGCCAATCCATACTTTTTTTTTAACTTGCTGGCAAGAATACTGTGGGAGACTGTATCAAAAGCTTTGCTAATGTCAAGATCTATCATGTCCACCACTTTTCCCCATATCCACAGTATAACACAGCCAGTTATCTCATCATAGAAGGTAATCAGGTTGGTCAGGCAGGACTTGCTCTTGGTGAATCAATGTTGACTGTTCCTGCTCACCTTCCTCTCCTCCAAGTGCTTCAAAATAGATTCCTGGAGGACCCGCTCCATGATTTTTCAAGGGACTGAGGTGATGCTGACCGATCTGTAGTTCCCCAAATTCACCTTCTTTCCTTTTTTAAAGATGGGCACTATATCTGCCTTTTTCCAATCATCTGGGACCTCCCCTGATCGCCACAAGTTTTCAAAGATAATGGCCAATGGCTCTGCAATCACAGCAGCAAACTCCCTCCACACCCTCGGATGCATTGCATCCGGCCCCATCAACTTGGGCTCGTCCAGCTTTTCTAAATAGTCCTTAACCTGTTCTTTCACCAGTGAGAGCTGTTCACCTCCTCCCCATACTGTTGCCTAGTGCAGCAGTCTGGGAGCTGACCTTGTCTGTGAAGACGGAGGCGAAAAAAGCATTGAATACTTCAGCCTTTTCCACATCACCTGTCACTAGGTTGCCTCCCCCATTCAGTAAGGGTCCCACACTTTCCCTGAACTTTTTCTTGTTGCTAACATACCGGTAGAAACCCTTCTTGTTACCCTTCAACATCCCTTGCTAGCTGCAACTCTAATTATGCTTTGGCCTTCCTGATTACACCCCTGCATGCTCGAGCAATGTTTTATACTCCTCCCTAGTCATCTGTCCAAGTTTCCACTTTTTGTAAGCTTCCTTTTTGTGTTTAAACTCACTGAAGATTTCT